GTGATGTACTTTGGTTCCTTGATTGTCCTATGTGACCGTGATATGTTATCATTAATATAGTACCAATATGTCCTGCCCCAATTCCTGTTTCAATAGCAAATACATCAACACAGGAATGAAAACTGCATGATAAATTATTATTATTTTTTTTTTTAGCCTATTGATTATATGATTTTTTTTGTGTGTGTGTGTGTGTGTGATTTAAGTTTAAAACAAGTTTAAATTAATATTTCTAAATTACTCCTACTGTCAAAATTACTCTTGTGTCTAAACTACTCTTGTCTCGTGTCTATTTTGAGGGATGAGGTACAGAAAGAACTTCATCGGGATGCAGATTATCCATGTGAAGTCGTTGGAAGCTGGAACACCTGGTACGGTGAACAGGATCAGGCAGGTGAGATGGAAGAACATATTTTTGTATTATGTTTTTGAAAAAAGTCTCTTATGCTCACTAAGGCTGCATTTATTTGCTCATAAATACAGTAAAAAAGAGTAATGCAGTGAAATATTTTTACAATTTCAAATTGTAATAATACAATGTTTGAATATATTTTAAGATGTAATTTATTCCTGTGATGGAAACGTTGAATTTTCAGCATCATTACGTCAGTCTTCAGTGTCACATAATCATTTTAATATGCTGATTTGCTGCTCAAGAAATGTAACAGTTGTGCTGCTAAATATTTTTGTGGAGAACAGCATTTATTTGAAACAAATCATTTGTATCATTATAAATGTCTTTATTGTCACTTTTGATCAATGTATGCATCCTTGTTGAAAAAGAGCATTAATCTCTCTCTCTCTCTCTCTCTCTCTCTCTCTCTCTCTCTCTCTCTCAAAAAAAAAAAAAACTAACCTAACTGACCCCAAACCTTTGAAAAGTATTGTTTTTAAAGCACCAGATTTGGTTTGTTTAAATATCTGTTAGATGTTTTATATATCTTGTTACAGTGCTAGAGTGACACATGCTGTTTTGTGTTTGTAGTGCATCTCTGGAGGTATTCTGGTGGATATCCTGCTCTTACAGAGTGTTTGCACAAACTCAACCGCAATATGGTATTTCACACATCTCTGTGCAATTAAATTTTGGATTTAAGAATGTCAAAATCCATATATTGTTTGTCCTTTATCAAAATGTTTCCTGTGCAGGTGTATCTTGCATTTCGAAAAGAGAGGAGTAAAATGTTGATCTCCCGATGCAACCAGCTTCTTCTGGAGTTTAGTTTCTGGAATGAGCCTGCGCCCAGAAGCGGCCCCAACATTTATGAACTGAGAACATATCAACTAGTAGTAAATGGCATTTAATTATTCTGTTTTAAAGAGACACCTTTTTATTCAGGCCATCCAAGATGAGCTCTGTTGTCATCAGAACAGATCTGGAGAAATTTAGTTTCACTTGCTCACCAATGGATCCTCTGCAGTGAATGGGTGCCATCAGAATGAAAGTCCAAACAGCTGATAAAACGCCATAATAACTCTTCCTCCAGTGAAAAAGTATATCCCCTCTTGTCCTCTCACATCAAAATCCACTGACACATTTGTTTAAAACTGTTTTGGACTGTTTTTGGTTGGGAGTGATGCTTGATCTATGAACATTAATCTCCTAATTCAGATGAAACAAATATTTAACTGGAGATATCAGTTATTATGGATAGAGGACTCGTATTTTAGCTGGAAGTAACAGCTTGAAGTTAAAAACATCTTAATGATGGATTTGTTTCTTACAAACAAGCAGCTTTTTGCTTAAGACATTGATTGATGGACTGGAGTTGTGTGTTTGAACTCTCATTCTGACGGCACCCATTCACTGCAGAGGATCCATTGGTGAGCACATGATGTAATGCAAAATTTCTCCAAATCGATTCTGATGAAGAAACAAAGTCACATCTTGGATAGCCTGAGGGTGAGTACATTTCAGCAAATGTTACGTTTTGTGTGAGCTTTTCCTTGAACTTTTTTCTCTGTTTTTGTCCTGAAATTACTGAATGAAGCCCGGAACTATGATCGAATGGGGAAATAATTGGTAAGTTTGTGTGTGAATTGTAGAGTTTAACTTAAAGGGATAGTTCACCTTCAGTTGCTGGTCCCCATTGACTTCCATAGTGTTCCACACTATGCAAGTCAGTGAGGACCAGCAACTGAAGGGGAACTATCCCTTTAAGGAAAAATACTGATATTATATCACCATGTTGCGTATTTAATCTATTTGATCATGTTCCAGGGCTCGAGCAATCAAATATAGACAGGAAAACAATGAAGCAGTGGGTGGTTTCTTCACACAGATCGGTGAATTGTATCTTGTTCATCATTTATGGGGTAAGAACATCCTTCACTGAGCACATATCTTTTTCTGGTCATTGCATATTATTAGGTGCTTTAAAATAATATTTTTAATGTGTTTTAGCCTATAAAGACCTGCAGTCCAGACAAGAGACCAGAAATGCTGCTTGGTTAAAAGAGGGCTGGGATGTCAATGTGCACTATACAAGTGAGTTAGAACAAAGACAGCGGGTGTTTGAAATACAATATTGGTGTAGTGATTATTGCATACTGCATAATATACTGTATACTGCCTGTCTGTTTAAAAAGTATGTGCACATATTATTTTAATGTAGCTTTACAGAGTTATACACTACTGTTCAAATGTTTTTTTTTTTACAGTAACAATGAAGACATTTTAATTCCTATATTTCAATTACAATAAAAACAGTTTCCACAAAAAAAAAAAATTAGGCAGCACAACTGTTTTCTACATAATAATAATAATAAATGTTTTTAGAGCAGCAAATCAGCATATTCAAATAATTTCTGAAGGATCTTGTGACACTGAAAATGTAGCTGTACCATAACAGGAATAAATTGCATTTCAAAATACCTACATTAAAACAGAAAACAGTTATTTTAAATTGTAATAATATTTTACAATATTACTGTTTTTATTGTATTTTTGATCAAATAAATGCAGCCTTGGTGAGCATAATTCTTTTAAAAACTTTAAAAAGTCTTACAAACTGCCAAACTTTTGAATGGTAGATTATGTTTTAATATGCAACCATAAATGTTTCAAACGGTGTTATCCTTCATTGCCACTTTTTTAATTCAGTGTTATCCGCTTTTCTCTGAAATAAAAAAAAAATGCTATTTGCTATTTTCAATTATGTAAAAATGTCTTAACCTTTGGCAGTCTGATCAAATAATGAGTCAAAAGGGAGATTTGGGAATTCTGGGTATTCCTTGCATAAAGTAAATGTGCATACTTCTCACAGTATGCTAGAGTAGTGCAGAAATATGAATCAATTCAAAGCACAATCAAAGTGTTTTCTTTGTAAACATCGCCATCTGGTGAATTTCAGTAGAACTGTTAGAACTGTTCCGTACATTCAAACTCGTTTATTTCTGTTTTTGACAGTGCCTCTTATCCAGAAGATGGAATCGAGAATTATGATCCCCATGGAACATTCACCTCTGCAGTAAAATCCACAGTGTTTCACCTGTGATGATACCAAATACACAATCCACCAGGAGATCTACTGTTCTGACTTTACTCAAACACATCTGAAACAGATGATCACGGTCTTCAGGTCCTCTTGAAGTAGACAGCAAGTAGACTGCAAGAAGGCAAAAGTGTGCCAGTGTTGAAGCCAATCTGAGAACTACAATGACAGACCCCAGTGCCTTTGTGTGAGACTGTTAAAGTATATATATAATTTAAAAATTACAGTCTTGTTTTTAGTCATCATTCTCCTTTCTGATGCATCATTTGGCCTGTTGGAGTGCTTGAGGAAACTGCCTGTCAGCATAGCTCTTTATCTACAATTAAAAGAAATGTGTTCAATTTAACGCGTTTATCAGAATACTTCATTTTAATGTTGTAAAATTTAAAACTCCAGTTTAGGATAATAAATTTCGAAATAATTTCTGTTGACCTGTCATCTGTAGTCTTACACTATATTCGATTATTATTATTTTATAATAATTTTATGATATTACCATGCTCAGTTTCAGTGTATATAAAAACTTAGCAATGTAGCTGGTTACCTATGAAACAGTCCCATTTTAAATGCTGCTGTCCCTTTAAAGGGGTCATATGATGCTTTTTTAAAGATCATTATTTTGTGT